CGTCTTGAAGGCGATTGTGGACACTGGCGCGACGGAGTCAGTGGCTGGCGTTCGATGCATATCTCGGCTGATTGACACGGCCGGGATCCCCTATGAGATCGAGCTGAACGACAGGCCAAGGTTCCGATTTGGCAATGGAGAATGTCAGAGAGCCGTGTCCAAGATTCACCTGTCAACACCTTCCCTGGGCAGAGTGGGGGAGCTGAGAGGACCCCGATGCTCCTAGGATCTTGTGATCTCCGAGCACGCAAGGCTATGGCGTCCTACTATGGAGAGTACCTCGCCCATCGAAGTCCGATCACAGGCAACTGGTGGGCAAACGCCCACGAACTTCCGAGGAGGAGGACATCTGATTCTGGACCTGTTGGAGCCTCGGACACCTCTCCGATTCCTGATCCAGCGCCTCAACAACCAGTTGAACGGACCAGTTGATGATGAACCGGACAATGGAGATGAAGATGGAGACGACGGAGATGATGATGGCAGACCTGATGGTCGGAGGAGGAAGCGGTCTCGCAATGAGGCTGGCTTCGAAGCTGCGCGAGATCTCCTGAGAGCTTCTATGTGGAATGCTCATCGTGAAGATGCTGCTGTTGGTACGATCAGGCCTGAAGACCATGTTGATCGAGTTCTGATGGCAGCCGGACCTAGCAACTTGACTAATTCGGCGCCTGCTTCACCCTCTGTTGAGATTGAGGTGGCACCGATGCCGGAAGAGACTGTACGACCCTTTTCATCCTCGCGGCTTGCCGGAGAAACAGACGTTGTGGCAGCACCTTCACCGAATGAGCATGATATCATGATGGTTCCGCCCAATGCTTCCGAACTTGTTCACTCATCTTAAGAGACTAGATTGGATGAGATCATTTTGGGATCGCCCGCGCGTGAAGAGAGGGACACTGTGACTGCAGTTCATGGTGATGGGCATGGAGATAGTGGACATGGACATGGGCATGCAGACAATGGACCTGAACACGAAGTCAGCGGACATGTGCATGAGCTTGAAGACAGTGGTCACGGAAGTGGAGTTGAGGCGTCAGGTGGATGCGTAACAACGAGGACCAGCGAGCAGGGCTATGGACCTCCAAGGAGACGCCGTTGCCCAAGAGCACCTACCAATCAAACCGACCTCCAAGACCGAGCCCAAGAAGAAGGTGGACAAGATGGTGACAGCAGCGCCAGCAACTGCTTCTCCGATGACGCCGCTGGAGATCGATGCAGTCAGCGTCGAGTCGGGGGCCTCGATCGAGGAGGTGGAGACGGTTCTGGAGACGGTCGCGGAGACCAAATCCCGGAAGGGCAAGAAGGAGAAGGAGTCCGCAGTCGAATGAGCCATCTATGGGATGCGCTGAGCGGACTACGAGCCAGGATGAAGGCTGGAATGCGCCGACAGCGGCTGGAGGCTGCAGATGGCACCAATACCTCAACCCCAACTATGAGCCCAACACGCGATCTACGTGAGGCACAGCAACAGACACTACGATTGACGACAGCGCTACGAATCCAGCTACCTGCTTGACATGCACCTGTACAAGTTCGACGGCGGCTGGATTGGCTCCATCCTATTTGAATGAGGAGTTCGAGGCCGTGAACAATGTGCACAAGAAGCAGGTACGGCCATCGTTGGCCAAGCGGCTGGCCATAGCGGCAGCCATGACTGTTTCGGTGATGGAACCGGTGCGAGAGCTAGTCAACATGACAAGTCCTCAGATTGACCTGATGGAGATCGCCTGCTCTAAGGATAGTCTGCTGACCAAGACCTTCGAAGAGGCTGGTTTCCAATGCCAGCGGATCAACTACCTCAGCGGCTATGACCTGGATGCCCGTAAGGGGACGAGCAAGCTCGATCAGACCATCAAGACAGCGAAGCCACGGCTGGCCTGGGTTTCATTTTGGTGCACTCGCCTTTCAGCACTACAGAACCTGACAGAGCGCAGTCCGGAAGAGATGGACAAGTTTCTGAAACGACGGGCAATGATCTACGCCGGTGCGATGAGATCTCGGCTTCCCTATAGACCATGTTCTGGCTTCTGGAGGTGACGTCCCATGCGAATGGCCAACAACTGCCGCTGCTGCCTGGAAGTCCGAGCCATCGATCGACTGACCAGGATGCTGAGACGACATGGGCGAGGTCCCTACTGGATCCGGATCGACGGCTGTGCATATGGGCTACAGTGGCAGGGCATGCCTCTGAGAAAGGCATGGACGATTCTCACTTCCAGTCGAGAGTTATGGCTGACCTTGAATAAAAGATGTGACAGGTCTCATGAACATGCAGAATGTCGAGGCATTGCTGCTCAAGCATCTTCATATTACCCTCAACGGATGTGCAAGGAGATCCTGAAGGGCGTGAGACACGCTTGGCAACAGCAAGTGAGCTCATTGGAGAGAGATGTTGAGAAGTACATCTTCCATGTGGAACACGATCGAGACCTGACCTCTTCAACGGCACTATCTCGACGACTTCCTGAGGGGCAACATCCTGGATCTACGATGGCAGCACTACTTGATGATGCTCATCAATCTGAACTTCCTGGGTTGGTGGACGATGAAGTTCAACACCATCAGATCCTTGCCCTGAGCCGGAAGCGAATTGACGCTGAGGAGGCTCCCAAAGGCAAACGTCTGGAAGCCGTGAAACAGCTGATGCTTCGAGTTCACCGAGCAAGTGACCATGCAGGTATGTCAAATTTGGTACAGCTGTTGAAGGCCAGAGGATCTCCGGGCTGGGCACTCGAACTTGCTGCAAATCTTGAGTGTCCAGAACGCAAGGAGGCATCGAAACCTCGACCTCGACCTCCTGCTGGAACCAATGAGACACCGAACCCGTTCGAGCAAGTCGGCGCCGATGTCTTTGAGTATGAGGAGAAGGATGGTGTCAAGCATAAGATGATCTTGTGGCGTGATAGAGCTACAGGATTGACCATGGTGGATCATCTTGCTCGCTATGAGAGTGGTGCTTGGGAACCGAAGAGCCAAAACGTCATTGAAAGCCTGACAAAGTGGTTGATGACTTATCCTCAGCCGAAGTGGATTCTTTCAGATGCAGCTCGATACTACACCAGCTCCCATGAACTACCTGGTGTCGGACTGGCCACAGCCCCGGCAGAAGCACACTGGATCATGGGCCCCGACGAGAGCACCATTGGCATCCTAAAGAAGACGGTGGAGCGCCTGCAACGAGAAGGTGATCGTTTGGAAGTGGCGCAGCTTTTTCAGCTGGCGGCGGCTGCCACCAACAGTCATGTGGGACCCAGTGGATTCAGTGCATATCAATGGGCATTTGGCCACGGTGGAGGAGTCCTTGATGATCAACTGCTGTTGAAGGGAATTGAGCCTCGGAAGGCCTTTGACAGCTTGGTGAAGGAGCGAGAGAAAGCCAAGATTGCCTTCGAGAGAGAGCGAGCTGGTGACCGATTCAGTAAGCTGGCAAATGCTGTGGGCAGGAAGGCAAGCTCCTACAAGCCTGGTCAACTGGTCATGGTCTGGCGACAGAAGGTGCGGCCTGGGAAGGCCAAATGTGGTTGGTCAGGACCTTTGAGACTGGTTTTGATGGAAGGATCAACAGCATGGCTTGTTTCTGGTGCAACCTTCTTGGTGACAAGTGTTGCTTCGTGCTCCTACAGGCAGAAGAAGATGGTTCATCCTCGATCCATGGGCTGGCGGGTATCCATGTTGATGATTTCCTGCTAGCTGGACTGGTGGACTCCGAGCACTACAAGTCCCGAGAGAAGGCGCTAGCAGAAGCCTTCAGATGGGGCAAGTGGGAAGAGAACGAATTCGGTTGTAACCTCCGCCAGATGAAGGACATGAGCATCGTCTTGAATCAAGAAAAATACTCCAAGAGATGGCTTGAGGAGATGGAGATTGACAAGGAGAAGGCTCGGAAGACACCCCTCAATGCGGCTGAACTTTCAGCCATGAGAGGAGCGCTTGGAACGGTGAGCTGGAGGGCTACACACACTCTTCCGCAGTACCTTGCAGAAGCTTCCCTGCTGTTGAGTGAGATCAACCGGGCGACCATCGAGACCCTCTATAAGGTCAATCGCCTCATCCGGGAGATGAAACGTGAGAGCGGACAGGGATTGCTTTATCCGTCGACTTGGAACATCAAGTCTGTGCATGACCTGGCAGTGATCACATGGGCTGACGCCTCACAACATAACTGACCGGACCGGAGCAGCGCAGCTGGCATTTTATCTGGTGTGGCTCCCCGTCAGGCACTTCTTGGGGAAGAAGTTCAAGTGGCTCTGGTGCAATGGAAGAGCGGAAAGACTCCGCGCCAGTGCCTTGGATCAAACGGCGCTGACGTACAGGCAATCACCATGGGGGAGGAGTTTGCAGGGACAAAGATCCAGCGAGACAAGCTCCACGACGCCCTGAAGGTGGTGGCAGGAGCGGTGGTCATGGACTCCCGCGGCATCTATGATGCAATGACGCGGAACCTCTCATCAGTGCATGGACTGAGGGATTCGCGAGCTGGATATGAGCTCACCTTGGCGGTGAACCAGGCGCTTCGATGGGTGAATGGGCTGGCGCAGCTTGGAGACTCCCTCACCAAGTTCGGAGCTCGCAAGACGATCTTGCAGTTCTTTTCGCAGAAGCAGTTCTGGCGATTGGTGCACGACGACAAGTTCGAAGCAGGGAGAAAAGTCCATAAGAGAGCTCTTGAGAAGAAGTGGCGCGAGATGCAGGCCAACTTTGTGGACACTCTGAGAGGACTTGCGGCCAAGCATAACTGGCCATGGGATTTTGGTGAACCCGTGCCGGTATGCCATCCGCTTTACGACCAAAAAGGTCAGGAAGGTGTACCGATGTAAGCATGCGGTTCATGTTGACCTTTTTGGACCTCTTGCACCCCTTTTCCCCATAGCGGTGGGGCTCGAGCGTTGAGCCTGCGAGAAAGGACGCGCGGCCGTCCGTTTGGACCTTTTGAGGTCTTCGCCTTGTCCTTTGGTAGGACGCGTCTTTCAAGTACAAATTCACAAAGCGGGTTGATATGAGGTGGTGTCCCAAGCGACAGCACATCACAGCATCCTCAACAGCATATCGCACATCCATACCGTCTATGCTCAAGTCTCAATCCCAGCACATCCCTTGAGCATGCAGTCGTGCTTGCTTTGTCGAAATCTCGGTGTGCTTTGATAGGCCAGTTGGAAGGAGCAGGCATGCTGTGGCTGAGGTCTGAGCTGGGTGAGTTGTGAAGGTAAATATCAAGTGAACAAATGCTTGCTTGGGCGTCATGCACACATCCAGGATCAGCACAGTGAAGTGGTCAAGAGGTGGATAAACGAACTTGTGATGCCCTTAGACCAACGCAGACGGCTGGAAACTGCACTCACGATAAGTGGCAACGGCGGTGTCCATTGCGCTTTGATTTTCTCTTGTTTTTCTTGTCTGAGGTGATTGGTCAAGGCTTTTGCCCGTGGGCCGCACCTGCAAAGAGTGCAGGCCATGTGGCGAAGACAACCAGTCTCAAAGGGCTGACATTGTGATTTGCACCTTGTAACTGTGAAACGAGGAAGCATCCGGATTGCTAGCAGCCAGGAAGCTCCAGCCTCAGTGCTGGAAATTCAGCCCATCCTAGCAGCCCCCCTTCTTGACTCTACACTGCCCAAGGACATTTTCAGACTCTCATCTCAGTGGTTTTCGGCTGAGGCAACAGAAGAAGGGGTGCTTGGAGACCTCCTTTCAGAGGCATGAGACTTTCTGTGAGATGCTCCTGTTTTAGCCCTTACCACCACCATGCTCCAATGCACACAACCAAGTAGCAAGGGCTTGGACTTAGCGGTTTTTGGACAAGGTGTTGGGTCGAAGTTCCCATTGTAAGGAAAGACTTGTGCCTTGGCACACGGCTCAGGAAGATAGTTCTTAGTACTTTGTGCAGATTTCAAGCCAACAATATCTCAATAACTTAATATCAGTGTGATTGTTCTTGATTGGTTGTCCAAGGTATTTCTGTGTATTAGTGTGGTTCTAAAATTATGTGTAGAACAATGGTTGGACGAATGATATTTTTGTTCAGACAACTCCGGCTTTTGGTCTCCAAGCTTAGGACTCGTGTAGAGAGAGTGTAGCAGCGTTGCTTTGGTGACCTTTCCCTAATTAGCAACTTGTCTACAGTTTGAGCACAAGCTGGCAATGGAGTGAAACACTCTGTGCATTGTATCCACAGGCAACACTCGGACAACCTATCCATGGTTCAATCAGAGTCCAACCAGGTGTGTGTTAAAAGGTAGTGCGATAACATGTTCACCTCCTTGCGCAATTACTTCTAGCAGAAGACGTGACACCACCTTTTCCGAACGCACTGTGCTCCAGCACTGTTCCACATGCAAGTGCTCCTGAATTGTGTCCACATGCTGGCGGACGGACCCTTTATAGAACTTGACACAGGGTTTGGGTTGGGCGGCATTTGCAGGCACGCGAGCTACAAAGCAGCCAACTTGAGGGTGCGCCTTCCGCCGCAATGAACTCTACTTTCTCAATTGCTTCATAATGCTGAATTTCAAAATCGAGAACTACCAGAAAATGACTGTCGCGACCGACTTCCCACGACCTTGAGCCATTTGATTAGAAGGACACATGGGGCTATGCTATGTGAAAGGATCCTAGGGCCGTGATGACAGACATGCTCCTGTTGGTCCTTACGAACCAGGCCCATATCCTCACCTACAACTTTTCTGAACCTTGCAAACTGTCGCAAACGTGCTGTTCAGATCTTCTTGTGCAACAAATCGGCTTAAAGAGTCTGGGGTAGTCACAACATCCCGAGAGATTACCCCCATGTGCCATCAGCCCTTCTTCCCCAACAGTTCGTAGGTGCTTTGGAGGTCCTTCTTTGCACTCACAAGTATGTCACGTCGGTCATGCTGGGAAGCCCACGCTGTGTCGCTGTGTCAACCTCTGTCGAGCTTCTTTGCGTCACCTTTGGAAACTGCCAACTTTACAAGCACTGTGTCTGGGCGAGGTGTTGCTGGGCTGTGCTTGGCTTGTCCGGTTGCCCCTGTGCTGTGTGGGTGTTTTGCTTGGTGAAGCGGTTGCAGAAGAAGACACCCCGCAATGACACACTTTTCAACATTTTTCAACTGCATGCAGTCGATGCTGATGTATTTTGGGAACTCGAGCATGCCCGCACAGGGACACCTTCACATGACTGCTCCACAGTCAGCATGTGCAATAATTCTATGTAGCAATGTGGGCAATTTGATAGGTTAATTTAGGTATATAGGCAAAAATTGAAATTGAATATGAATTCTGACCGATAGGCAGCTGCATTCCCGTCAACGTGACTTGCCGGAGCTTTCAAGTCTTTGTAGCTTCCAATCCAAAAGAATAGGTCCTCAGTGACCACGGACTATTTTTGACACTGAGCACAACAAGTTTTGAATCAGCTTCTCGACATGAGCTCAGTCAAACCAGCCTTTGATTGAATGCTCGGAGGGTCTTCCACAACTGTTGTGCTCGTGTCCGGGTGCTTGATTGAGTGGAGAGTGTGACAAGACCGTTCAAACTCTGAGGTTTAGGCACGACTTAGGATGAGAGAAGAGCTGGCCATGGCTTCAGCTTCAAAAGCAGACAGGATCCACAAGGTTTAGACATATTTATCCTTTTATCTATGGGTTTGTGGGCAGGGTAGAGATGCTTCTTGTTTGGGCATTTGCTTTTGCATAGCTTATATATATAATAAATAGTTCTTTTTTCACTTGTGCTCGAGGTGTCCACAAGTGCCATCCTGGAGAGCTGGCTGGAGAGGATTCCAGATAATTTCAGACCACTTCTTTTTCTTTTGTCTTTTGAGAGGATTCCAGACCTTTTCAAAGTTCTTCCAGCAGCGGTTGCAAGGCGGACAGGTACGCAAAAACTCTCCAATTATGCCCGCTGCAAACTGGCATTTGAGCCAAACTCTGACTTGCAGGCATGGCTTCAATCTGAAGGGGTAAGGGTCCAGCTCTCGAATCTTCAGCAACACTTCTGAAGAGCTTTGACTTTAGCTCACGCCTGTCCATCTCTCAGAGCTTGGCAAAATCAGGGTACTCAAGACTTCATGTTTTTTCACGCTGCTGCAGCTTAGAAGATGCCACTGCAGCTTCATTGAGCACAATGAACAGAAAAGGCCTCAAACAGATCCGCAACTCGGAAACAGCGACGTAGGTTTAAATGGGCCGCGCATGTCGTATTCCATTGCTGGTGGGCCTTGTGAATTTGTGCGCTCCAATTTTCACGACTTTTGTGCAGCCAAGGTTTAATTTCCAGACAGTTTTGAGACTTGGACCACGCCAGGCAGGATTTGACGATGCTCTTGACCGATTTCCACAGCGTGGTGGTGTCATGGCCAGTGATTTGGAGAGCCCAGTGAGGGAATGGCCAGGAAGGCGAGGAAGGCGAAAGGGAGGGTATCAAAGGTACCGCGAAGAGCAGGATCAAAGGCTTTGGAATGATCAAAGGAATCAAAGGAATCAAAGGGATCAAAGGGATCAAAGGGATCAAAGATCAGTTCGCAGTCCTCGAAGCCGCTTTGAAGATGATCTCACTCCCGAGGAGCGAGAGCAACGTTTCAGGTTTCAAATCCAAAGCCCTGTGACTCTTACAACATTCATCAAGAGGTCAGAGACACAAGAGCAGCTGATGTGGACCATTACAACTGCCATGGATGAGGGGATGCTCAATCACATTCATATAGCTGCAACCTTCAACAGATTGGCATCCTTGAAAAAGAAAGCTCCCCTGACGGCTAAGATTTTGCGGAGCCCTACATTGGTTCTTTTGGCCAGGCAAGCTGCCAGAGTTGCTGACCGAAGGGAATTTAGAGCTCGGGAGCTGGCAAGTATGCTGATGTCTTGTGCTGCCTTGAGAACGGATTTGCCCTGGCTCGCAGAGGAATTGGGTACCTCTTTGGCAAAGTGGGTTGCAACTTATGCTAAAGAAATGAACCCACATGCTCTTGCCAACACGGTGTATGGCCTTGGCGTTTTGAACCTGGGGGATTCTCCAGAGGTGACCTCTGCAATTGAGAGCTGCACCAAACAGATACCAATGCAACTGGGCCGCTTTTCTAGCATGGACGTGGCACAAGTGTCATGGGGGATTGGAGCGCGAGATAGACATGATGGTGCCAGCGATCTCATGGCGTCACTTGCACAGTGGGTCACTGTTGAGGCTGCAACGTTACCAGATGCAGCTGCATTTACAGATCTACCAATGATTGCATTGTCTTTTGTCCGATTGCAGAATTGGCAGCCAAAGATGATGGAAGCAATTGCAAATCGACTTGTCAACCACCTTGCTGAAATAAGGCTTTGGAGCTTATCTGCTTTGCTTTGGTCCTGGAAATCTTCGTCCTTTGAGCCTGATGATGCTTATAGCACACGTTTCCTGGAAACGCTGATGTGTGCAGCCAAAGCCCGGAGAATAAGGCAGGAGGATATTGATCGCGCCCCAGAGGGCCCCAAAGGTGAAACTCGAAATTCTTGGTCGAGCGGCACTTATCGAGGGCTCAGAGTGATAGAGAAATTCTAGCGAGTGTTTAAGTGCACGGGAGGGCTCCTAATCAATTGCCGAGGAGTCGGTGTCCAGTCTACTTTGCCCAGTGCAAAAGAGGATTGAGGGGTTGGTTCTCTATTTAAAATACCATGTCTAAGTGCCTTTGTTGTTTTTAGAACAAAAGCTGCCAGCCACAGGGAAGCAGCAGCCTTGTTGTTATTGTGGGGAAGCAGGGGTGCAATACTGAATCCTGAGGTTGTTTCTTTTCATCCTTCTTACCAGCGATGCACCGTGCTGCAAGTTAACCAGGCGCAGCGTTTTTGACTGTATAGTTTGAGGAAACACTAGGACTAGGAACTATATCAATTTTTCACGATAGAGAAAGGAACACAACAATCTTCAGTGTGAAGGTGATAGAAGTTGCCTTACCTGGGGGGTTGGCGAAAGCGAGAGTGCTGCGAATGGCAGGCTTGCAGCAGACACTTGTACTTTTTTTCGATTGAAGTTCTCACAGTCATTTTGGGGTTGCAGGGTTTGATGAACGTGGTGCTTTGGTTGATGTAGAGCTTCAGGCCAGCTTTGTACATTGAACAAGAAACATATTCACTTGTCAGAGGAGCAGTTTCTAACGTGTTGCTGTTCTTGTTTGTGCCATTGAGGATGGTTTGCTGAAAATGACAGTTCCATTGCTGGAATCTTGGTCACCAACCAGGATCACTAAATGCAGAGCCATTTAAAGGTGAGACGCCGTGTAGTGCTTTGCCATGATATACAGTAATTGATTCAAACTCAAGCCATGAAGAGCGAGAGCATTGCCAGAAGGTATATGTATATATGAATAAAGTACTGATATTTTGACATCCATCGACTTGTCTTTCTTCAGCAATTCTTTTCATGCCATTTCCTTCCTCAACTCTTGCCTTTCTTTGACTTTAAGACCTGGAGCTGGGCCGAAAGAATTGCAAGAAAGTGCTTGGAAGGACTGCAGTCAAGCGGTTCTGTCCTGTATTGTTACCACACGCTTGAAGACAATAGAGCATCAGTACTAGCCAAAAAGCGTACTTGGTTAGAGTTTTTCGCTTCTCGATTGGAGACTTGAAGGACTTGGCACTTCAAGCACCGCGTCCTGCACTGCACTTGTTACGTCAGGCTGATTTGGACAAGGACAGCTGGGATTTTGAGGTCAAACACAACATAGGCGAACGTAGGCCACACAACTCTTGTTAGTTGTGCCATCAGGCCTTTCTCGACCTCGGGGAGCGCATGTTCACAGATGCAGCTCAGCCCAATCTGCAAGCTTCTTTTGAATGTCACAACGTCAGAGGGTGCATGGTGGCTTGCAGGCCTCATGCAATATTTCATTTCGGTTTTTGCTTTCTTGCTTTCAAAAATCCTTGTGTGCTTCAAGGCAGTTTTTGTACGAAATGAACGGATTGCTCGTGAGCTGGGTGGCCGCTGGACAAAAGCATCTTGCTTGCAGTAGGCAATGATGTGCCGGTGTATGTTGCTTTGAAACGAGTTTCCGCGAGCTCGAAATGGTTGAATCGAGTAGATAAGCAGCAGCCCAAGCAGCAAAAAATCGAGAGGTCCAGGCTTCTCAGGTGCAATGAACAAACACTTGCACGAGCACTTACACGCAAGCGAAACTTGCATGTATTTGTTCAAGCAAGTCGGCCGAACTCAGGAAATGTTGCAGCGCTGCGAGGCTGCAGCGGGAAACAGCACGGAAATAAGCAAGCAAACTTGAATGAGTCGTATTCACAAATGGGAGCACAACCCCAGCTGCCTGGATGCAGCCTGCAGCTTGATTGAAAACTGATTGTGTTTGGGTGCATGCCTATTTATGCAGACCTTTATCACGAAAGCTAGCACCAGCTAGCTGGAGTTGTTCTTGCTTTAAGCGCCGCATCGCGTGAAAACTTCATATGTAGGGGCCCCCCCCCCCCGCCGCGTATCTGGGACGTCTCTGGGATGTGTGTATTTCCGCTGGCAGGGGGCTGACTATTCCTGTGGCGGCAGGAGTTGGACCCCTTTCTCGGTCGGAATATCCCCCGCTTCACCCCTGCCCTGCTAGCTTTCGTCACCAACCCTCGGCCCAAGTATTAAAGTTTGTGTCTGAAATTTAGTCAGTCTTTAGCGAGCAAATGTGCCGTACCCTGTGGTTTCAGGATGGCACAAGCGAGCCTGGGCAGCCGAAAATTGACGAAACTGTGCAGCTGAAAGGAGAGGCAACTTCGCAAAGTGTTTTGCTTTTCTCAAGACAATATTGTGGAAAAGCAAAACAGATTCCAGAGTTTGTGCTGGATCACAGGTTTTATGGTGTGACACCGACAGAGTCACTGCTGGTTTGCTTGAGGCGGGGACACTCACGTCCACAGAAAGACAGGGCAAGCTTTTGCAAACTGCTAGACCTTGACACTGCAAATGAACCACCTTACTTTTTGCACAATTTTAGACCACGTTGCAGGCTGAATGCAGGCCTTTGTTTGTTGCAACTTATTTAGACCTTCCATTATTCGTCTCCAGGTGGAGGGATTGACTGTTTGTTGCTTCCGGACGCCTGAGCAACTCTTGCAGGTTCGAGGGCCCAAAACGACAAACAACTTGGCGTGCGACGTGCAGATGTGGAATCAACCAGATTTGGAAGGGTGTCTTCCTTCGTCTTCCTCCCTTCCTTGCTTCCTCCCCCTCTCAGGGCATATCTTGCCAGGTCTTCCGTCGCAGACGGCGACATGTTGTGGGAATTTTGACGTCCATGATGGAGACCGCGTGGCATTTTTGTTTGCTGACTTAGTTCGGGCAACAATTGTCAACTTGACAATGGGACCAGTTTTACTGTATTCTGCTTGATGTTCGCCTGTGCAAGGAGAGAGGAGGCCGCAAGGAAAGAGGGGAGATGAACCTAGACGGCATTGTTTTGGTTCCCCTAACAGTGTCGTCATACTAGGGGTTCTTATGGTGGTGGTGGTGGTCGTCGTGGTAGTAGTAGTAGTAGTAGTAGTAGTAGGAGCAGCAGCAGCAGCAGTCGTCGTCGTCGTCGTCGCTGGTGCGCGATCTGGTGCGTGCAATGATAGAAACGTGCGCATTCAAATGGCATCTCGCACCTTTCAGCCGCACCTTTCAGCAATGCACGTACTGGTCACTCTGACTTGGTACAAACCGAGCATTCCCCCAATCTGCATTCAGGTCATCGTTCACTGCCTTGACTTGATCTTTGTTGAAACTGGCAGTTGATAACCAGATACAAGGTGACGTCACGTCCAAAGCTAATTAGATCATATTAGATCTCTGTTCGGGCTTCACCGACCCATGTACCTTAGGGGCCACATGGAAGGATATCAACAAAGCTAATTCCAAAACTGTTACGGCTGAGCAGCAAATGATAACCTCTTTAGATTTCTGTCAACCTCTTCTAGGCCTTGAGACCTCTAGGTCTGTAGCTCGTGATATCTATGCGTCTCAAGTCCTCTAGACCTACACACCTCCAGATCACTACGCTTCCACCTGTCTGGATCTCAAGGTTCCTAGGCCTCTAGAATCTCTAGAACTCTGGCAATTCAGAGCTCTCAAACTCAGATCTCTATATAGACATTCTAGACTGGACGTCAACGCCTCTACACTTCTATCTCCAGACCTAGGACACTGGATCTCAAGATCTGTTTGGATATCACCCTCTAGATCTAAGATCTCTAGACTCCAGACGTCTAGAGTCTAGATCTCTAGACCTCTAGATCTTTGCAGGTCCCTCCCCCTTACACCTTTCCTGGACCACTAAGCCGTAGACCGACTTCTAGATTCTCTAAAGTTCTGGTCTTCCCTGAAATAAATATCTAGATCTCCTGATGTCCTCTCTCAATCTTTAAACCTCTACACCCTGGATCTCCAAGTCTCTCGGTCCGCGGATCCCTCGCGCCTATTTTTTGATCTCTCTGGCATTTCAAGATCTCTCGACCTTGGGTCTCTGCATTTCTAGATCTCTCTTGACCCAAAACGTCTAGACCTCCAGACTTTGCACGCCGCCACCTCAAGGACAACGCTGTTTGGGGTCTCTTGCCGGGAGAACCGATGTCTTATTCAACGGTGACGCTTTTGTGGGACTTCCAATCATTTCGGAGCAGATCGGAGCAGGGTCAAGCAGGTACAAGTTCGGGAGCAGGTTCCGCAGCAAGCCTGGAAGTTCCGTAGCAGCAGGTTCAGGAGTTTATGGAGTAGCAGCAAGTTGGGAGCAGGTTCTCGCAGGAGGCCCCCAGCTTCCGGAGAAGGTTCTGGTGAAAAGCGCGGGGCAGGGGGCAAGTTCTGGAGCACCTTGCAGCGCCGTGCCGATACGCTATGACACGCCGACATGATTCGCCGTTATCACGTTGATATGCTTGCGCGGAGTCAGGCTGACATGCTGTCTTGTAGTGGCGTTGTCGTGCTGGCGCATATTTGGGCACATGATAACATGTGCTGCCCCGAAGTATTACCCTGTTAATATGCTTGCGTGGCACTTTGGAAGAAAAGCGTGCGTAGGCTGGCAAAGACATGGCACTTGTAAACCCTCAGCTACTTAGGGTCTAGAATCAGTCTATAATGGACGCTCTTGGAGGCTTTGGGAGTCAAAGGTCTAAAGCGAATCTAGAAACGTTGTACACCAATTTAACTTAGAACCACCAAAAACTCAGATTTTGGAGCCGCGAGCTGGTTTGAGCATGGTTGGGTCATCAATTCTAGAAGTAACTTCACGTCAGACCCCTTTTTGAGCAAAACATCGAATATTAGCCCTTGAAGTTGGGATATTTTTTTCAAGCATGCTGACGGAAAATCTTTTCCGCACTGCACCCATCGGCCCTACCAAGGTTTAAGTTCCGGAGCAATGCAGACACATGCTGACATATGGTGACGTTGTCATAGCGTCGTGCTGACATGTCATCATGCTGGCATGTTGCCATGATGACATGTCAGCGTGACAGGGTGCCATGTTTGTATGGCGTGCGCACGTCAGCATTCTGACATGTTGTCACTCTGGCATGCAGCTTGCAAAATGTGATGTCATGCTTGGGGCTTAGGTGTTGTCACGTCGATGTGCTCAAAAGGTGTCAGGTTGGCACGATGGATGTCATGTTGTCATGCGCTCGTGTGGACACGTCAAAGCTGATATGCTGGCATGGCGCGACGCCAGCATGTTTTCAAGCCGTCGCGTCGTTCTGGCATGCTGGCAGGCTTTTGAAAGGGTTCCGGAACAGGTTCCCTGGTTCTTGCCTGTTGTGTTCG